ATGTATACCCTGTTCTAGACCCGGTTTCTAGACTGCATCTTAAACAGTTAAATAAGCGATCCTGTTCTAGACAAATACTGCCTGTTCTCACCAGCAGGGCATGAAAAAGCGACTCTGTTCTAACCAGCAGGACATGAAAAAGGGACCCTGTTCTAACCAGCAGGGCATGGAAAAGCGACCCTGTTTTGCGGCACACTCGTACCACTAAAACTATAGGAAGTACCCCCCCCCCCCCTCCCCCCCCCCCCCCCCCCCGGGGGTTAAAAAAGTGCATTCAAAAACAGATATTCCAGAATTCGACCGACTTTATCTGCCGAGCTAGCCTCCTAAATTTGAACAAACAGTTTTTATTGAATATATTTACAGAAATCAAACTGTGATATCAATTACCGAACGATTTGCAATCTGTAACACACCACATTGTGAAAATCAGTAAAAATACAATGGTTTTACTACAAAAAGTTACCAGTAATTTCAAGTACCTGCCACTTTTATACGCACAAACGTCACACACACAGCACCAGTTTTGATGACGTCATTCGGATAAACGTTACAATTTGAAAATAAAATAACAATTCGTTTTTTTTTACTGTCAACCATGTGAACGAATTTCACTAAGTTAATTTAATAAATAAAGACATACATAGTTTATAATTGGAGTATAGCTTGTGTAAAAATTTGCACGTTACTTCTAAAAAAAATGTTTTCAACCAGGAAAATTCAATATATATTTGTGACTTTTAGGGTTATTCTTGCATAACAGAACAAAGTCAGTTATTTTTCTTCAAACCTGTTATGGTTTCGGCAGTAAAATGATGTTTTTTATATACATTTTTAATGGTTTGTGGGTTCTGCTAAAAAGCGACAAAAATGTCGTTTTTGGCGTGCTAGCGGTAAACGACAAAAATGTCGTTTTGGCGCCGAAAGGGTTAATGCGCAAAAAACAGTAATGGTATTTCGCGGAATTTTACTTTATTTTAATTTTGTACATTTTCCCGAGCTTTAACCCTTTCCCTTTCAGGCATTTTAGACCTTTACTTATCGAAAAGACACTATCAAAGTTCAATTAAATACTGCATTCGCACCAATGGTCATGCACATGCCATGTTGGGCTCATATGAAAGATAATTGGTCAAATATTTCAGAAAATTACGTTAAAAGATAATTTGTCCTTTTTTGGTCACGTGGGATGTTTCGAAAAGTCACGTGACTTTTGGAGAAAATGTGGAAAAATACGAAATCCTTGGGACAAAAGTCGTGTAGAGACATATTGTTGCGCTAATAGGGTAAGGTTTTGGTGGAAACACAATGCCCCAAGTCTGTTAAAGACATACAAGTTATCATATTGGTATTAAAAGAGGAAATACGTGCTATATGTCTTGAAATCTCGATGTCCGTAACATTCAAAATAACTGATTTCAGACACTCTTTTCGTCCAATTTCAAACTCGGACACTACATTGTAGTTTTTTGTCTAAATCGTTTTCAGTCAAGCAGTAACCTAAATTTTGTTTTTCTAAGGGAAAATTCATTGAATTACTAATGATAACTTGATGTGGCGCACCCTGGACCGAACCCGATGAAGCAAATGGGGGAAAAAGGGGGAGGGGGGCTATTTGGCACACAAATTCTTTTACAAACAAACATAAGTATTTCGTTTGTTTTTCTTTTTGAAATTGAAAGTAAAGTTAAGTTAAGTTACATTTAATATAGGAAATAATTTTTCCACCTCCGGCATTGAGAATCGAACACGCGATCTTTCCGCCTTGGGTTTGATCAGCATACCCCTGCAACACTGGCATCGTTAGGAATATATTGAAATTTAAGTACTTAAGTCTACCATGTCTACTACTCAAGACGTGAAAAAAAAAAAAAAAAGAAAAAAAAAAAAACATATGAAGATCCTCACCCAGCTTGTTTTCTTTTAGAAATTATGTGTTCAGATGATATATTTTTTATGCCAAATGGCCAAATGCATGATTTTTGCGCAAATATAACAGGAATCCAGTTCTTAGTCTGTCTTGTTTCCATTGACATATACATTTTCCTTCACAAAAGTGTTTTCAACTTTATCATACCCAAACACTTACGAAACCATGTTTTGTTACATCTATTTCAACTTTGCTAAAAAAATTCAGGACATTTCAGTGGTTTTTGTCTCTTTTACGATAAAATCTTTAAGAAATGACTACGGATTTTTAGCGCATTTCAAGTTTGTGATTGCGCTGATAAAAAAAAAATACATTTTAAACAAGTGCACAAGTTAGAACTATTATTTTAATACCATTCTTCAAAAACTCTCTGCACAGTTATTGAAAAAAGTCATAATTCCCCCAAAAAGGACAGTTTTCTATGCACTTCTTTTTGAAAATATTCTTTAAAATTCGAAAAAAAAATGGATTTTACAGAAAAAATACATGTCAGTAAGAGGCGAACTAACTATAAACTGATAATGATAGAAGTTTGATGCACATTCAATCATATTGCTGGTATCCTGAGGATTAAGTTGAGCCCTTAACCATATCTGTACGTCAGCAAAGGACGATGGAACAAGACTAAATGCCCAAAAAATATCTTAAAATTTGCTTCACCGGTAAGCTGTACCGGTGTGAAAGGGAAAGGGTTAATGCATTAATTCTTTTTGTTATGCCCCAGGATAAGAATTTTATCACGGTGTTGTTTACAAAGCGAAAGAAGCACGTTATATTAGAATGTCAATTATTCAATTTTGTTCGTCGTTTACGTCAATATTAATAGTGTGCTCAATTACGGGAACAGCAAACATTTCCCTTCACATAGAGCGCTTCGATCCATAAAAATTGCTGTCTTTGTCCTATTAGAATAGAAATAATTCATGGGAGCTTGAATTTATATTGATTTTACCACGGGGTTGGCCTTTTATGTTGATATTTTACCCCTCGCTATCGCTTGTGGTAAAATATTTAGCATAAAGGGCCAACCCGTGGTAAAATCACGATAAATTTAATCCCCCATGAATTATTTCTTAATTTTTATATCCATGTTTATAAGATATTCCAGGGCTTTCGTTTCCCATCACAATTTGCTTGATAGAGGATTGCTGCTTTAAAGAAAGCTATTGAACCAATGGCAAAATTAAAGCCGTCTCTTCGAAAGTGTTACGGGGGCTGTCATGATTTAATTGACCGTGTTCTGTGTATCAGATGACCATGGATATGTTCAACTTGTCGTAAACACAGCCACGCTCTATTTTACTCTATTTTGACATCACCAAATGCAACTTGTCAACGTATTGTAATTGCCATGGTCAACACGATGGTTCGATGGTTTACACTAGTGGAGCAGGAACAAATTTCCCTTACAGAGCAGTAAATGTTTTGGTGTTGCTTAACTTTAGTTTTTTGTATGGTGTTTTGTGTAAAGTAAATGTTGTTTTTTCTTTTGGTCATCGTATTGCCGGTTTTTCTCAAATACGGATCACATACTGGAGTATAAAGACAAATTCATGGTGAACAAACTGGTTGGTAAATTAGCATAAAAACTAAGTCTCATTTGCTTAAGTATCGGTCTTATAAGACAAACATATGTTTGGAATGGCAGAGGGAGCATGTTCGATTTAGAGTTATCCCCCATTTACCAGGAACACTTGAACCGAAAAATAAGTCGAATGTAAACGTGTTAAATCATCCATTACATATGCATTCTGCACGGATAAGTAATACTTCATGATCGCATTTATAGCACCTCAAGTTCGATAGATCTTTTTTTCTTATTTTATCTTTTCGAGATCTGAATCATCATCATCTGTCCACCGAATAATAATACGGAAATTACGGAAATGTAAAAAATTCAGTTTACAAATAATCAAATCAAAATGCAAAGCTAGACACAACATAAACGCAATTAAAACATGACATGCTAGTACATGTACATATATATAGATGTCATTTGGTTATTTGTGTCGGTGGGTTACTGTCTCGTTGACTTATGCCTCACATCTCCTTCTATTAATACAAATCTTCTGGGTGAAAAAAAAGAGATTTTCTTGAATCAAATGTGGGTATGTAATACAAATAAGAATAATTTTATTGTTGAGAAAAGAGGATTTCTTGGTGCTGAATGTATGATTTGTGCATTGTTTGTTCTAAAATTGACATGCATTTCTTTTCCTAGAAAAATAAATAGATGTTTTATTTCTCAAACTATTTAAACTTTCATTTAAAATGTTATATGTTATATGCTTGTTATATGAACATGTATAACATCTCAAGAGATTCACAATTGGTATATTTTAATTCAGTGTATGTACTTTTGCTATCACATTATCAACTGCATATCGACGTATACATATAAAAAAATGCATTGTCCCAAATATTTATTAAACATTAAATATTTGTCGCTGGACATTAAACAAACGACAATCAATTCTATTACTACACGATTTTAACACCTGAAAAATACATCCGTGCACATTTTTGCATATATTTAGATACTCTAGAGTAATTTTGATCGAATATCTTACATGCTTTACCTAGCTTCTTGATCTTATTTATAATAAAATGGTATCTATTGTTCCATATATCATACAAAAGATAGAGTTTTATTTACAGTAAGAATTTCATGCACATTCACCACAAGTCAATGATCAAAAATAATATTATTCAATGTAAAGATTAGAAGAGGTAACTCCATATGTATTTTAATTATTTCTTTTTAAATGTATCATTCTAAAACCATGAAAATGAGACAGAAACTGTTTTTATTGTCCGAATGTTAGGATTAAAGATAGTAAGCATATGTTCAATTACAATTTCTTCGTTGACTTGTTCGCTTTCGTCCTTTTACACAATTCGCTAAGGATTAAAGAAAACGGACAAGTTCTCTGTAATTTTTTATATATAGCCATGTCATGTGTTCATGGCACAGATATACATTTCTTTTCGAGAGTAATTTTTAAAGTATTGCTATAAAATGGAATATGTGGAAACAATATCCTATAAATATGTTACATGTAACTGATATGTTTGGTTATCAAGCTGTTGACATTTTTCCTATGAAAGTGAACTAAAAGGTACAAGAGATCGAGGTGAGTTTGATTTACACTGGTTATATACAAAATGTATTGTTATTTTGTTTTCTTCCAAAATTAAATTTAATTGTTTCAATAATAATAATAATAATAATAATAATAATAATAATAATAATAATAATAATATGGTAATAAAAAATCTTATACATGTTAGATACCAATGAATTTCCAAAATGGTTGACATGGTTCTAAATTTAAGCGGAAAATGAAACAAAATGAACAAAACACATAAAATATGGCAAATGGAAGTTTATTGACACATGTACATTAAACAATGCAGCATTCTACTTGCAACCTTTGGATAATGTTAAACTACGTTTGTATCGATTGTATCAATTGTTTTTTTTTTTTTTTTTAATTTTTGATTCAATAGCAATGAATAACAGTCATAAGACTGTGCTAGCTCTGTCAGTCGAGGACCAATATTGCTAAGCAAGAAGCTACCTGTATAAATCAAGCGGGAATTAAGAAACAATTCCCAAAATTCTCATTCAAAATTTAAAAAAATCCTGCAGTCGAAAAACTTTTAATTTCTACATGGAACTTTATTAAGAAGTCTCAAAGAAAAAAAAAATGGAAAATCTACAAACGCGGGAAATGAATAATTACTTTTGTTATATTTTGATCAATAGCAGATGCTTCAGTAAAAAGCGTATGATATCGATTTCATTAAGCCGACGCGTGTTTATTTTTTAATAAAGTTTGAAAAGAAAGAAAAAACACAATATATTTTGGAGCATCAGACCACAAAATCTGAACAAAACAGCTAGAGCAAAATAAGGAAGTGTTCAGATTCGTGTCGATATATTATATTTGTATTTGCTAGTAATGCCTGCGTCACACTGTCCCGAAATTGACACCAGGTGGGCACACGATAAACAAATGTTCAAATTCGGATCTGATCGAAAGCACATCGGGCCATTCGTGAGGGCACCTTAAGCCATCGTATGACCGCCGGCAGCAACGTCGTGAGCGGTGGAAATTCTTTGTATGGCATGACAAAAAATTACAGAAAGACATTTCGAAGGTTCATTTTCGTGTTGAATTCGAGTGTCCATTTTGCCCTTCGTAAGGCCATCGTGAGGGCATCTTGTCAAATTGTGTCATCTTCTTCTTATCTTCAGTGATCATCAGTGCCGTCGGGCATTTTTAGCCTCACGAAGACATTACAAAGGAAACAAGAAGCTGCCCAATTGTCTTAGGTAGGCATCACGACTACGTGAAGCTCTCGCAATGCCGTCGTGTAGCCATCGTATTATAGTACGATGACATAGAGATGGGACCACGAAGTCGGCGAAAACAGTCAAATTCGAGTAGCTTAATTTCAAAAGTGATAATCTTAAAAAAAGTTTGCTGCTTTTCAATCGGTTATTTTGGTATTTTTTCCCCTGAATTTCTCTGACCTAGCTTCATACATATACTGATACTTTGCATGTTCCAGAGAGGTATACTGTAACAGTCGTGCGTACTGTGAGTAAACTACTTAATAAAATATCTAATATCTTAAAAAATATCTTTGCGTTGCATGCGTGTGTGGTTCGGGTGCTATCGTGTGCCTTTCTACACGCATCGTACTGGCTTCCGATGTTGATTGGCTGTTGACCAAGTTCGGAGCATGGGTCCGCGCGAAATTCAAAATTCCATATTTGTATGACCATCTGCTGTCAATTTCGGGACAGTGTAAAGCCTGCATCAATGATTTTTTCTACCGAACCCATATTAAAACTGTTTTGAAAATTAGTTTTAACTTGCAAATGCAAAATGAACTTTACGTACTTTTTTTCAATTCACAGGGTATCAACATGAAACTTGGACTTTTCGTTATCCTGTTTGCTTTCAATTTCAATGTGAAGGTTATTAATGGCTGGTATAGCAGTTTGGGTGGTAAATATATTAACAAAAAATAGATTGGCGACAGAAATCTTTACTTTTACTAAAAGTGTTATATCGCCTTTTTCCGGTTTCTAATACAGTTGTTGTAAGACAAATGAATTGTTTACTTGTAATTTTAACTTTTCTGAGGGAGTTAGACCTTATTTTCTTAATGATATATATTAAATCTATCATTTTCTTTTAAATCCCAATCCTCGTCCTATGTAATTTCCATCAGTGTAGGTGATTATATACCTGCAGATAGAATCACACTTCAACAAAAATCTATCTGATCTGTTTTTGTGGTACAAGTACTTCTTTACTGCAGTAAACCAACTTATTTTCGCAGATACTTTTTCATGTTAATCCTGTCTAACATTCTTTGCAGCCATTTTTTTCTCGCGATTTTTTTAATGTATTTATGCAAGAGACGATCCCAGTTTGACATATCCGTGATTGACCCTTAAACGTGCATAACTTTCTATATTCCGGTTGGTCTATTGGATGCCTGGTTATAGTCGTTTTTTTTTAATAATAATTATAATTTTTTTCTTTATATTTTTTGCTGCCATCTTTTGAATAATATACATGATTAATGTTTGCCCTATCAAAAACTAGCTAATTAAGCTTTTGTATCCAGGTGTATGCGGTTACCGACGATATAACCCAAGATTGCAAAGCTGTTGCGGAGGAATGGTGACTTCAAAAGGTTCATGTTGTGGTACCCGATCATACAATTATCGTTTGAACAGTTGTTGCGGAGGCGTGGTAACTTCAAAAGGTTCATGTTGTGGAACCCGATCATACAATTATCGTTTGAACAGTTGTTGCGGAGGCATGGTAACTTCAAAAGGTTCATGTTGTGGTACCCGATCATACAATTATCGTTTGAACAGTTGCTGTGGAGGCGTGGTAACTTCAAAAGGTTCATGTTGTGGTACCCGATCATACAATTATCGTTTGAACAGTTGTTGTGGAGGCGTGGTAACTTCAAAAGGTTCATGTTGTGGTACCCGATCATACAATTATCGTTTGAACAGTTGCTGTGGAGGCGTGGTAACTTCAAAAGGTTCATGTTGTGGAAAACGATCGTACAACCCGCGCTTTCACATGTGTTGTAACGGTCGTGTTTGTTAAATGAAAAACAAAACTATGTTCACGTAAATAGATGCAGTTCTCAGTTATTGAACACATTGGGAAAAGTAAAATACCAGAAATAAGATTTTTGTTTTCCTTTTTACATGTTTAATGCCCCCGCAACTGAAAGTTGAAGGTATATTGTTTTACCCCTGTCCGTCCGTCCTTCCGTCTGTCCTTCCGTCCGTCCGTCCAATTATGGGTATATAGTTATTCCAGATAATTCGTCCTACAATTTGAATGCTAGGAAGTTTTCACTTTGCTGGCTGTTTGTACATATATTGAAGTTGTGCATGTGGTCAGAGTTTTGATTTTTATTAATATTTGCTCTTTTGGGAGATAGTTGAACTTTGTCATTTTTGGAGTATATACTTGTATAAGAGGTGCATAGCGTTTCCGGATAACTCCTCCTACAGTGAACCATAGACCTATGTGCTCCCATGCTCAACTTTGTGTATTTTAAGATAACACTTTGCATCTGCGGGGGCATCATTTGTGTCTCCCAGACACAATAATATCTCAAAGAAAGTCCTACATTGACTGTGTTATAATACAGTTACTTCAGAGTGGAGTGCGGGGGCATCACTTTGTCTAGACTAAGTCTTTATATTGAGTTTCTTTTATTTGCACAGAAACATTTCATTTATACATTTAAATAATTATGGTTCTTATTTTTTATATTGATTTTCTTTTATTTGCACAGAAACATTTCATTTATACATTTAAATCATTATGGTTCTTATTTTTTAATACCTATTAAGAGAAATATAATACATAGGCAAAAGAAATACAAAAGTTACATGTATATTAACACAAATAATTCGAGCAGTATATGATTGCAAGATGCACAGATGCACAGATGCTGTATTTTGGAGAGCTTTAAACAACTTATATTAGACATTATGCCTTTTGTTGATAAGAAAGGATCGATATTCGGAGTTTTTTTTTTTAATGATAAGTATTTTGAAATACGTGGTCTCTCTGAAACAATCAGTGCGTTTCTAAAAACAACAGACTGTGCCGTCCCACCAGATTCAGGTTATATAAAAAAATCCTTTTATATTTATATTTTAAAGCTATAAGGAAAAATCATAAGATATCCTGGTAAAATATGGTGGCCGGTTAAAGCCATTTCGCGTTTTCGCCCTTCATATTCTATAGGGCGAAAACGCAAAAACGCGAAATCACGAAGTCGAAAAGTCGAAAATGCAAAATCGGAAAGAAAAAATATTTCGTTTTTTCGACTTCGCGTTTTCGCGTTTTCGATTTTGCGTTTTCGCGTTTTCGCCTTATAGAATATGAAGGGCGAAAACGCGAATGGTTTTCAATAAAACTCTAATAGTTTTAGATATTATTAGTTACATATGGAATTTAATGACCCCGTATATATCATATTAGGTCACTAGCACACTATGTAACGAATTTATCTTACCGACTATCTTTTTTTGTTGAATTTAGACTAGAGTTGTCTCATTTGCAATCATACCACATCTTCTTATTTTTATATAAAAGTGTTCAAGTGTTCAATTTTAAGAACCTACTTCCATTGGTCTGCACAAAAAAACTAATGTCAACAATAACAATTTAATATCAACAACCTTGATATAACAATATTAAACAGAACTTTTAATACATTTAGATAATCAAATAGTCCGAAAATCGTAACTCCATTACTAACCGTGTATTGAAATAAGCCCCGCCTCCCTACTAACCTAATATGGAATATACACGGTCTCCACGCGGACGCTTTTAACCAATCATATTCTTAGAAATATAAATGCCTCCTGTCTTCTATAATAATAGTTTCCAAAATGAAAATACATTGAAAAGTTGTTCTTACTATACCATTGAGTTGCAAATTGGCTCAGTTATCATAGTGTTTTGTAAGTAGTGGTAAGTTACAGGGTTTACATCCTGTATGATGTAGTATATCCTCACCCAAATATTTGTACAAGCGGTCTGGCTTGGCTATTCGGGGATGCTCAGATACGTAGCATTAGCTGTGGACTGGTATTATACATCGCTTCTTAGAACTGTTCAATTATTATCAATTACATTTCAGTATTTTTACTGTTAGTTATAGACATAGATTGAGCTTGAACTAATATAGCTAATAAGACAAATTGTACATTTATTAAACATCATTAACGAAGAACGATTTAACATTTTTTGCCAAGTGCTTGGCCTTTGTGGGGTAGGAAAGATTTATTTTTATTACATCTTTCCTGGTAGTTTAGTTGACCCCTTCCTAGGCCAAACTATTGTATTCTACATTTTTTTATTATCCGATTCGTTTTATGTTTTTCATTCATTATTATCTTGTTGGACAAATGTATATATATATTGTTTATTTTTGTATAATTAACATTTTTACTCTGATTAAGTAGTATTTCCCAAATTCACTTTTTTTATTCTCTTTTCATTTATGCATTACCCAATAGAATGTAAAATACGAGCTACTCGTTGATTCATTGAAGTGAATGTTAAACATCTAGTGGTTTGTTTGTGTTGTAGGAGGAAATCATAAAATATAATATGTGTTTGAATATGCTTTTTTTTTTTTGGAGGGAGGGGGGCGTAAAAGACATTAAAAAATGGCGGTTTTGCTGACATGATGTTGTTATGCTCAGTCATGTCTGATCTTTTTGGTCAAGTTATGTGTAATTTGAGATATAAGTTTGATGTCTGCCAGGCTCGCCGTGCGTTATATTATTGCTGCGGATAATGCTTTCAAGTCTGAAATAAATAAGACGGATGCCAATCGCTGTAATTGTTGGAACAGGAACAGATTACAGAGCACCTGAATCACCCCGGTTTTTACTGGGGCTTGTGTAAATTATTTGTTTTGTTTGGTGTGGACTGTTTGTTGTTTCTTCATTTTCTTTTGGCTATTAGGGAACTACCATTTGATTTTTATGGGGGGAGGGGGGCTAGGATGAAATTTGAAAAAAGGCAGGACAGGAGTTTTGAGTAAACCCCCCCCCCCCCTAAAAATCAAGTGGTAGCTCCCTTATGTTGCTTGTCCCTTTTTGATTTATATTGTATAATTGCTACCTTGGCATTTTGTTCCTTTTCCCCTTTAAATATACATTTGTAGTATTACTAAAACGAAGCCTGTATGTATGCCATGGTTAATTTTGCGAAAACAACTGTTACAGTTATTCGGTGTAAAAGTTCATCTTTTCAACAGCCGTTAGAAAAATTGAAGGTAACAGCAACATTCATTTAAAAATGCTCTATTCTTATATAATTTGATTACAAAAATATTTACAAAAAACATAGCAGAATATACATTGTGTTTATTGCGACTTCTACAAATCAGTATATTTACAAAATTGTAATAAGTTACATATCCGTTGCTATTGCAACCGTGACAAAAGTTGTTATGCGATTTTTTTTTATCAATTAAATGTTGGAATTTTCAAGCAGATAAAAAAAAATTTAAACACACCTATCTCAGTTACCATGTCAACAATAAGAAAAAGTACAGTATAAACAATGGACACACATTTATTAACACATGTAAAGCTTATCACAGTTCTAGAATGCACCAAATTTTACTAATAACGCATCAACACTTTGTTTTTCCTATGGCTATATATATAAACTTTTTAAAACAGTAACAAGGAACCAAGACAAAGTCTAGTGCCATAAGCCAGTGGTTTCGTACCTGCTAAATCATGATTAATAAATATACTTATTTTAAATTTTGCGGTAACAGACGTTAAAACTCCATATTTGATAAAGATTTACCTTAGACGTATGTGTGGTTCTTATGGATAATGTTATTGATGCTCCAACGCTTTTCATGTACTCTGCTGCACATAACATAAATCAAAACATGACTAAATATGTTTTGGTATACAGTTATGAAAACTTATGGTCTTACATTCTGTTTGACTAAGTTACAATATATTTTATTTACTCGAAATAAAATGTATTGGACACAAGTAAATTCATACTGTATGTGAAGCCGCTACAATACAAAATATACGGTTTGGGTTTTTCTCATTGTTGAAAGCCGTACGGTTGCCTATAATTGCTTACACCCACTTCATTTGAACTTTGGTGGATAGTTGTCTCATTGGCAATCATACCACATCTAATTTTTACATTGATATGAGCATGACATTTTAAAAAAGATAATGGTTTACGAGTCGATTTCGAGCTAGTGAAAAACGATTGCAAAAATTGTTGCTGTAAAATTATTAATGTTGATGACGTTAATGTAGTGGAAATACACTATTCAGTATCATATATAACAAGAACCTACAGTTAAAAATACGAAAACAAGTTTAAATATCGTGTCTTCTTTGTATATAAATGGCAACCAAAGAGAAAGTACATAGTCTGTGTACATTCTCAATATTGCACCAACATAGATAAGACTGCAGTTTATTGCGATCTTCATTAGTGTTGTTCGACAGCCTACGTACCTATTGTCTGCATACTAGTAGCCCGTAATTGTGTTCTAAATTCAATACTATGAACATCCGCCTCTTTTACTCTATATATTTTTAAAAATAAAAAATCATGATATTCTGAAAATTATGCGAATATACGAAATTCGTATTCCTAACATAAAATAACTGTCACAAATAGATTTACCTTCAAATTCGGTTGTGTGAATAGAAATAGTTTAAAATGCTCATCAAAGATAATACAAGGCTTATCCCCGCCACATTCTGTATCTACCTGTCCCAAGTTAGGAGGCTGTAGTTCAGTTGTTGTCTATTGTTGCTGTATATCATATTTGTATTTCGTTTATTGTTTTGTACTTAAATCTGGCCTTCAGTGTCCTCTTTTGAATTGTAGTAAAAGTTGATTTTTTGATAGTGTCCGATCAAATCTAAATATAATGTATACAGGTTTGACTCCGCCTATTTATATTGTTAGCAGATGTCAATCTCAATTACAATGCTTGAGCAAACGTTTATACAAACAAAGCAAGCAAGCCAACCAAAGTCTTCATCGACAAGCATTAGGAAATTAGCTCTCAATATCTACTGATTGTGTTCGGATTCCTTATTCTTTATATGACATGTCTTTTTCTGATTTCGATTTCTTTTTTATATCGCATTGCTG